CGTGTTCCCAATGATGGCATCTCCAGATATAGGAAGCCCGGTGAGGATCGCCACGTCTTTGAGGGTGATCGTCATTTCCCCCTCCGCAAGGTGGAATGTATGGGTTTCGGGACGCCATCGTTCCGCCATTGCCGTAAGCAGCTCGTTGTCGATCTCGATCAGCAAGAAATGGCGCAACATTCCCAAACCGGTCCTCGCTATATAGGGCTCCAACCTTGGATGCCAAGCGGGCAAGTTATTGGTCCCTTTATGAACCACGGGAACAAGAGATTCCTAAAAAAAATAGGAAAAACATCAATTAATTAGATTAAATAAAGCAAAATAAAACATTAGAAAATAATAAAAAAAAGCAAGTCAGTTCATCAAATTACCGGATTGTTATCCCAAATGGCACGGGAGCGATGCATTTCTTGATCGGTTAAGAGACTCGCATCCCTTGGGCCATAATGGATATACAATCGAGGATCGTATATCTCGGCACCCATCTATAAAAAAGTAATATAATCAGAGATTGTTTTGATAAAAAATAAATCAAATTGTTTCGATTAAAAAAAATCACAAACCAAAAACCTACACGAAGAGCCTCTTCGTCCATTATTGGCGGAAGCCGGACAGAGGTTCGACGGGTTTAGCTTTGTAAGGGACGGGAACTTAGCGGGACGGGGGCTTTAGGGTCAAACTCTAGTAATTCTTTCTGATGTGGAAGATCGGACTTAGCCGCAACCACAGAGCATACTTAGAACGAGACTAGAGCGGATAAATTGAGGGAGAAAGAAGTGAAATGTTTGTGGGGTGAGTTGAAAGTGAAAGGGGAAGGGGGTATTTATAGTTTGGGGGAAGGGGGGAGGAGCTGCTGCGCAGTTATTAGGGCTCCATTCACCGCGTTTGATGAACGCGGTGAACTCACCGCTTTAACCAAACGCGGTGAATGCAATGGTGACGTGGCGTGCTATGAGGCGTCGGATCGTGGGAAGAAAACCACGATCCGCGTCTCACCGCATCTAACGGCCACGGTGAAAGCACATTGGCGCGGATTGCTGACGCAAACAAACACGGGTTATTCACCGTGTTTGTCTAACGCGGTGAATACCCCGTGCTGTCCACGTCAGCAACTTCACCGCGGCCGACAAAAACGGTGAAGCCTTCACCGTTTTAGTTTAAAACGGTGAAAGCATCACCGTGTTAAATTAAAACGGTGAGGTATTCACCGTTTTTAACAAAAGCGGTGAACCCTTCACCGTTTTAGTTTAAAACGGTGAAGTACTCACCGTGTTTGTCAAACGCGGTGATGACCTTCACCGTTTTAGACAAAAACGGTGATGCTCAAACATGTGTAGTTTTGGAATTTTTTTTATAACTAATGTATTTTGGGAATTTTTTTTAAAAACTAGTGTACTTTGGGATTTTTTCCCAGAGGAACTGTCAGAGCTAAGAAGTGTTATTGTATCTAATGAGCTTCTTTTGTACAAAGAAAGTAGCTAAGTTTTTTGTGAGAAGAAACAAAAAGATCTATGTATAGTTACTGTACGTAGTATAATGGTGTTGTTTATGTATTTTTATGATGTCGGATGTAACGTTGATTGCCTTGGTGCACGACGGTTTTAGAATGTATGCAAGAAAAGAGGAGCAACCAGTTAATCGTTGCTATTTATTTTAACAATAAATTGCAAGTGGAAGCCACTACTTTGATTTGAAATTTGACATGTTCCAATCTGTTGCCTAATATAGTTGCCTGTGGATAGTCATCTAAATATCAGAAAAACTGACCCTAACAGCATCAAATTTGAGGAACATAACCATGAACGAGGAACCGAATACAGCTCATATTCTAAATATACAACAAGAGCAAACTTTAATTTAATTGTGTGGTATCACTTAGACCATTGACAATGTTACAAATGAATAAATAATAACAAACTACGGATACATGATTAAAGTGTCCTCGAATGAAACATTTGTGTATACTCAATTTGCTTCAAGCCCGGCCGAGTATAGAAAAATATAAATAATGGGCCCTCTTTTACGATACATAAGTGGATATATGAATTGGGCCCAGTATTCTCATATTTAGCCCTAATAGGAGATGACTTTGTGCTTATATTAAGTTTCTATGGCTTTTGGGAAGCCCATTCTATAATTGTTCGGTCCATTAGGGGAACAGTTAACAGCCCATTTAATATTCAATTTGTTATTTTACAATGGTGATGCGAAAACGTTTTGGGGACCAACTTCCACCGATTTTTCATTTCGCTTCTGATTCTGTCTTTTAACTTCCCCTGTTCTCTGAACTTCTCCTCCCACGAACTACAGTGCTTCGCGAATTCTAGATCAGGGACAGTCGTGTATTCAATGGGGTATGCTCGCCGATAGTTTTCCCTTTTGCATTCTGTTTCCATTTCGAGGGCTGCGTCTGGGCACAAACGTCCGCATAGTAATTGCTAGGCCTGTGATGGCATGGCTCGAGTATCGAGAGGCGCCTAAGCTTAAAAATCTGAGCATGCACATGATCTGGATAGATAAAAAGGTTTTTTTCCATTTCAGTTACAGAATTAGATAATCTCTTCGTCAACAATTTTAAACTGCTATAATACATAATTTGGAACCGTTTAACTGCTTATCTTATAGGCACGACTAATCGAGTCAATGGTTGATGAAAAAGACATCACCGAGATTTCTCGCAAAATACAAGTCGGGAACCTTTATCGGTTTGATTCGGTTGAAGCAATACCAGCAAGAGAGAATCCAAAGATCGTTGCAGGAGAGTTAAGAGTGCACATAACCGCTGATCAAAAAATTACCAGGATTGAGGAGGACCCAGATGAGCCACGCTTGCCCACTGGCTGGGACATTGGGATGGCTTTTTCGATGGTACCACTTCAGACAGACACCATCGACTATCATACAGGTACATTAACTATATCTATATCTATTTGATATAATAAAATGAACTTAGGCTTTTAAATGACAAACTCTTGTGTTGCTTATATACATCACCGTATGCATTAGGCGTCTCAGTGTTCCCACAACAATTCGCAGTAGACTCAAAGAATTTCACATGGTCGTTCAGGATGTGAGGTACATTTTGTAGAATAGAATCTCGATCTGTGAATTGTATGAATAAACAACCTCACATGTTAATGTCACTGACAGTGGCGCTAAGGCAACTGTTCGGTATCGTGGATATGATATACCGAACTTCTTAGAGAACGCCCCGACAGCTGAGGCTCATCTGCCTCTGATTGTTACAATCAAGTCTGTCATTCGGGTGGCACCTCTAGCCGACCAGAAATACAAGTATCGGTTCGAATCCACCCCAGCCAGTGCACTCATGATCAGATCTTCTACAGTCCCAGTCCAGGAGATAATGCACATGTACATTGAATTTGACAGAATCCTTTCCATTTTTTGAATCCTATTTGTTGCCAGTCGGCCAAAACCAATTACATTGACACTTTTGTTTCTTTTATGCAACAACCAGTTTCCTTTACAGTCGCAAGCAAGTTTATTTCATGGATGCCAATACCAGTAAGAAGACAGGCTGCCTTCGATCAGGAATCGAAAAGAAGACACTCTCTGACATGGAAACAATGCTTGCATCTGATCAGACTATCCACAAGGTTGGTGAGGGACAAAACATAAACCAAATTCCTATACTGTCACCCTACATTTTTCGTAGACCAATGTCTTATCAACATCTGATGTTCATGCTAGGTGCTCTATCGTGTTAAGTTCTCCATCTCACAGATGAAATTTCGAAAAGCCACATGTCAAGCGACTGAGGACTGGCCAGAGTAAGTTTTCTATTTCAAGACGACAATTACATCTCATGTGAATCAATCTATCTACGAATAAGCCAACAAATTTCTGAATTTATACTTATGACTAGGCTGCACTATGAGTTGGAAGTCAAATGCAAGCAAGGAGATGATAGTCTTGATGTCATACTTGAACATGAGGCTACACTATCAATAATGGGAATGTCACCCAGCAAATACAAAAAACTCGATGCAGAATCAGCCAAGGCGTTACTGGTCAAAAGATGTAGCAGAATGTTTGCAGGAGAGCTCTACATCGATTCCTCAGATCTGAAGAACAGAACCAGAACAGCCGTATCCCATATAAGAGTGGCTACCCTTTGGCACACCTCAAGGATAGATAAGTGACCTTCAGATCTACTGACAGAAAGACCAAACGAAGTATCCCATCCACCCCCAGAATTCTCCATTTTAAACTAAAGTTTCTTTTCCCTATTTTCAGTGAAGACAAAACTATGGCAGACGTGTTTATGTTTTTAAATTTCGTCGAAGGCATCAGATACTCAAGTTTTTAGTCCCTATTTTCAATGAAGACAAAACTATGGCAGATGTATATGTGCGGTGAGCACAAAGTTTGTTAATATGTTTGTTAATTTCTGCGCTCTCTAGCGCAACGAATATAAACTATTTGCGAATGGTATAGCAGAAAGAACACGGCAAAATCCAAAAAACAACTGGAGTCAGTCTTACCCCGCAGCGGAGCGCGGGCCGAGTACTAGTAGAGATTAACCTTTGAAATCCGATGACGTGATAGTTTAGTGGACAGTATAAATTATATTAATGTCAGTTTCAACTACATACTATTTATTTGGATTAATAGATACACATACCCCTGTACTATGCAAAGCTAACAAATAAGTCCTTATATTATGTTTCTCTCAAAGAAAGCCCTTCTATTATGATTTAGTAACAAATAAGCCTCTCTATTAACATTCCCGTTAAGCAATCCGTCAAGTCTCTATTTTTTTTTGGTAGAGTGACTTATATACCCTTTTCATTTTTAGAACATAATAATATATTGATTTTTATACCACCACAATTGATTTTGGGGTCCGGGAGGTTTTGTTATACTAACAACATGATTCATTAAGAGTATAAGAGTAAATATACTCATATAATTAATAAAATAAAAATTAAATTAAGATTTCCCAATTTCTATCACTCTCGATCTTCTCCTCACGCTCGCACGTTCTTGATACCTCCTCCCCCACAGCGGAGGGCTTCTCCGGCGGCGATGGACTGGATGCGGTGCCTCGAGTTGGCAAGGACTTCGACGCAGTTTTTCGCGGCGGTAGCGCGGTTGATGTTGGAGGAGGAGGATCCCATAATCGACTTCACCATCTACTGCGGGATCGAGAGATTGGAAGAGGAAATTGAAATCGCCGATTGAATTAGGTCGATTGGAGTAGGGGATTCTGGAGAGACACGACGGAATTGCCCAGGGAAGACCAAGGACGTCTGGGAACCGGGTGGGTGTCTCCGCCGCCGTAGCTGCTCTCGTCTCCGTGTATTTCTCCGACCCGCCTCCGTCTCTCGCCGAGTCCCTCACGGTGGCTTTCCCAGTCTCCCGCGCTCGTGAGATGATCTGTTCCTCCTTTTGTCTTTTAATTCGGTTGCCTTGACTATGTTTCAACTCCATTCAGAACTCCATCTAGAGAAGAATCTAAGAATCACCCAGAAACAACCCCACAGTCAGAATTCTGGGCAAGAACACCTCTTCATCCATCAGCAGCATCAGCCTCTGGAAGCAAGGCAGTTAGGCCAAGATGGCATTTCCTACCTACAAAGTAATAGTCATCCAGCTAGAATGAAGCCCCATTTTTATTGAATGAATAACCAAAGATTTACAAATGAAATATGTTTCTTTTATGGCAGTTGCTCAAAGTTTATGAGTGGCAGCAGAAACAAATCCCACCAGTCACCATGCTTTTCTACGCCTTTCAGCTTGAGAACAGAAGAAAGAGCTGCAAAACGAAAAGGGGTGAGCTTTAAAGCAAGTTCAGTATGAAAGATTTGAGTTTCCAGGTGGCTTTGATTGAAATTTCCATCTCTTTGTACCCTTTTGGATGCTTTGTTACAGAAGCTGGAAGAGAAGTTCAATGCTAATCAAGCTCAAAAGGTTCAGTCACAAGCAACAGTCAAGGTATAGTTATGGCTATACCGCCTTCTATAGTCTTCAATATTTCGCTATAGGTCTACTTTCATTCAACGGTAGTGAAATTGTAGGAGAAGGCAGAAACAGAAATGAAAAAGCTGAGGAAGAGCCTTTGCTTCAAGGCCAGGCCATTGCCAGGGTTCTATAAGCAAAGAGTAACACCAAAGAACCAGATGGACAAGGTTATAACCGAAAGTTTCCATCTTTCCGCTTAGTAGCTTCACATTTCCCGTTCTGGGGCTAATCTGTGCTCGATTCTGCATGCAGGCTCCACTGACACATCCTTCTCCATCACAAGAACCAGAGACTTCAACTGCAAAAATGGTGAAGAATACTAGTACTATTCCACAGATTGTTCAGAGAAGTTCAAGCAAGAACAGTGGCCGAAATGTGAAGAAGAACGACGACAGCTGCAACAATCCACGGTGCCTACGTGCGAGACTGAGAGCAACTGCTGCGGAGAATAGTTGTCCAAATATCCAACAACAAGCAACCTGAAGATTGCTAGATGCAAGTTCTTTCATGGGGGGTGAGATCTTGTGAAGCAGGCTTCACAGTATAGAACAGTACCACTGTCCACAGAAAGGGCCAAGCTGACCTTGTTCTGTCATTAACCATTGACCCATTTTCTTTGATCTTCCTTTCTATTCTTCATAGAATGAGCTCATTAGTTCTTGTATGTTTTGAACCATACAAAGTTTATCATTTTTTTTTATGACGTATCAGAAGCATCCTAATGTAGAACATAAGTCTCGTGAAGCAAAACAGAAACACCACAAAGTGAGCCATAAATATTTTTAAATCACACCAAAAACCTTATTATACAAACCATAACTCTCCTAAAACAAACCAAAAACACCACAAAGCACACCAGAAATTTCATAAAACAAACTACAAACACGGTAAAACAAATCATAAAAAAGCATACAAAAAACCTCTCAATTCATGCCACAAATTCCCTAAAACAAACCAGAAACACCACAAACCAAACTACAAATATTTTGAAAGCACACAAGAAAACTCATAACGCAAACCATAAACACCGTAAAGCAAACCACAAAAACAAACCAGAAACGTCCTAATGCAGACCAAAAATATATTAAAACAAACCAGAAACCTCACAAAGCAAACCACAGAATTTTCAAAAACACACCAAAACCTCATAATGCAAACCACAAACACGTTAAAGCAAACCACAAAAACAAACCAGAAACCTCCTAATGCATACCACAAATCTCCTAAAACAAACCACAAACCCCTCAATGCAAACCACAAAAATTTTGAAAACAAACCAGAAACTTCTCAATGCAAACCACAAACACGATAAAGCAAACCAGAAACTTCTTAACGCAAACCACAAACACGATAAAGCAAACCACAAAAGGCATACGAAAATATGAGAAACCAAACCATAAATCTCACAGTGTAGACCATACATCCGGTGGTCGTTGACCGTTGACCGGTCAACGAAGACCGTTGACCGAACTCCGGTGAACGTCAGTTAGCAGATTCCGACTCCGATAGGCATATTCCGGCCTCGATGGCTAGATTCTGACGCCGGTAAGCATATTCCGACCGCGGTGAGCATATTCCGACGACGATGGCATATTTCAATGACAAAATAGCATATTCCGGCGACAAAAAGCATATTCCGGTGACCGGCGACCAGTTTACGTCGACCAAAATTTTGGGCCGAAAATAAAAAGAACATTTTTTTTATTATTATTTAAACATATTTTTCATAATGACAATTATACCCCTGCTTTGATTTTACACTAGGTCAACTCATCTAATAAAAAGTCATCACAACCCTAGCTTCCTATTGGTTAGAGACTAATGTTGTTATAATAACAACCCAAGTAGTGTTGCTATAGTATCTAGTCCCTTGATTTTGGTATTAATTTAACGATTTTTTCATTAGTTTTTAGTTTTTACACGTTTCCTCCTTTGGGGTAATGGTGGTCACTTCGTCCGTGCTCGTCTTATCGAAAACCTTTTCGACATCCCATGACCGCCAAGCCCATTAAATCCATCGTCGATGTTGTCGTCTTTTAAACCCCCTCATCTCGCCTCCCTCCTACATCGCCAGTGTCTGACAGACTCTTCGCTGCCGCCACATCGTTTAGTCACCCTCAGATCCATCAACCTCGTGTCCTTATTCGAAAAATAAAATATTGTTTGTTCGTATGTATGTATTTGTAGACAAGGCACGCCCTGTCCACTTTGACAACAATATATCGCGAAGGCTGTTCATATGCTTCACATGAGATCAGTAATTTGATTCTTTATACAACAATGAATCGAAGCGTAGGGGATTGAGAAATGAGCAACATGATTCAGCTTGCTGTCATTCGCCTATGCAGTGTAAAAACAGCAAAACACACCTACTTCGACGAAATTTTAGCTGGTGTGGGCTTTACAAACTTAAACCTCAAAACAACAATTAAACATGTGAAATGTCAGACCTGTCCTGGAAGTTTCAGTGGACCATAAAATTTCACAACCTATCAATTTCGAGATCTCAATGCGTATGTGCAACTAACCTAAGCTTGACACCCAAACCCTGTTGTGGTTTCTAATCAACTTAAAAATATTAACAATACAACCCAAGCACGAAACAAATAATTAAAAATCATTCCACTTAAATTATGGAGCAAATAAGAGTTGAGTGTTATGTTCATGGGTTTAATTCTCGGGATGAACAATAACTCTCAATTCTTTGGGAACAAACCAATAGTCTGGGAAAACATAATATAGGACAATGTAGATAATAAAGTTGGAAACTCAATGGAAGCTCAGGACATAGAAGATCACTCCAATGACATCTTTCTCTTCAACTTGTTTGCAGAAGTGTCAGGACCTTTGACTGATCCATCAGACTCTTCAAGGTTGGCAATTTGGTTTGCATCAGGTAAAGGTTGGGATGACTTGCTACTAGTGGTAATAGATGAAGAGGATCCATCCTTGTGCAGGGGCAAATCTTTCTCCTGGACAACACATCCAATTAGAAGCAACTTGTTATGTGACACTGACATACCCTAAGGGGTACTATGAACATTGGAAATGTGAGTTTATTTTAGTGCCAATAAATATATAGAAATAGAACACTATTTCCCCCGAACTTTGCACCCCAGTTTCAAATAGGAGACAGTCATTATTCCAGTTACTTAAGTCAGAAACACTAATGAAATCTAATCCAACAAAACACCTCGACCGACCCAAAATGTTTGAATCAATAGCATAAGGCCCCGTTTAGTATTGTTGCCTGTTTTTGTTTCCTGTTGTGTTTTTAAAGATTGGAGAAATCAAGAAAAAAAAAACATGTTTAGTTGGGTTTCTATTTTCTGTTGTGAATCAGAGTTGCACAACAAGGCCCAAATATGAGAAACAACAATTTATTGCTTTGGATCTGATTTTAAAACATGTTGCACACGGGATTCCTACTGGTTGGGCACTTGATTTCATTAAACCAGACCAAATTTTGAATCCCCACAGAAGCAATTTTTTTTTTAACACAGCCGCCACCCCCCAAACCCTACTTCTAACATATCAGCCGCCACCCCCCAAACTATTCTCCCACTAAACCCTTCTCAACAGAGGCGTCACCGACCACCCTTCTCAACAAGGCGGCACCTCCGCCTCACCTCCGCCGCGCCGCCGGCCACCTCCTCAGTCGCCGACCCCTCCGCCTTCGCGCCCGACCCCTCCACCTCCGCGCCGATCCAGCCCGCCGCGCAGCCCGAACTCTCCGCCGTGCAGCCAGCCTAGCCCGCGGCCGACCCCTCTGCCTCCGCGCCTGACCCCTCCGACTCCGCGCTGACCCAGCCCGCCGCGCAACCCGACCCCTCCGCCGCGCAGCCAGCCCAGCCCGCCGACCCGCGTTTTTGTAGTAACTAAACGCGTTTTTGTTTCTTGTTTTCAGCTTTCATGATTTTTCAGATTTATCAACTAAACAGGTTTGTGTTTTCTGTTTTTTTTTTCCTGTTGTGGTTGTACATCTGTTTACACAACACCACTGCAACCACAACAACAACAAAATGATACTAAACGGGCCCTAAGTGTTTGAATTGATTGAGTATACATGAATTAAAGTACATAACCCCAATTACATAGCATGCATGAATAAGATTCTCAAAGTCAACCAATATTCAAGTTTGAACATGTATACTTGGAGTGATGAGTCAACTAACCTTTGCAGTGCCATCCAATATTCTGAGCACAGTGAAATCAGCTTGCCCGTCTTCGTACGGGTTGAACTTGAATTTGACGTGGAATTCCTTTGTGGTACTCACTATCTCGAGGAGTTTTTCAGGAGGTGAAGTACTGTTTTGTCCAGTCTTGTCGAAAAGTTCATTAGCACTGATTCCAAAGAATCGGTGCGCTTCATAGTCAAAGACGATAAAGGTTGCTGAGTTAGACTCGCTTTGCACCTCAAGCTTCACACGGTACCTAATAAGATGTGAAATGGAAACAAAGCAATTTTAGTTTATTCCTTTTCAATAAGCACAAAAGTAATAATTCAAACTACTATGAGGAGCTTCACCTGGCAGCCTTGACTGGTGTATTCTTGTTACATCTTACACAAAAAGATTGGCCCTGCCTTTCTATCGGCTTATAGACACAGCTAGGGCAGCCCATATATCACCATCCAGCCTGGATTCCGATGACTTTGCACTCAACAGAAAATTCCATTTCCTAATTTTAAATTATCAACTCAATCAATGGATAATAATGGCAAGAACAATGCATTGAGAAAGAGTGCAATAAATTGAGCTAACCTCATTATCTGGGTCCATCGGCAATTCCAGAAGTTCCGCAAGGGAAACAGCAGGAAACTTAGCACCTGCAACCTGTTCTACAAAGATGGGGAGTTCTGGTTCCACATTCCTATATTGGAAAATCTTTGGTCATCAAATCAATAGGTAGCAAAATAGACCAGGAGCCCAAATTTGTATTAAGTCACCAATAAATATAAATACCTAGTGGTAAAAGCAGTTACTGCAGGGATATCAAGAGTACCATACAGAACTGTGGACCCAGAAGAAGAAAATGATAGTACCTCTGTGTAAATGTAAACAACGTTAGGTTTTTTTGTTCGTCCAAAGAATATAACACAATGGCAGCTAACTAATAATAAATTTACCTTTGAATTCATTCACCGTAACAGCAGTTACAACCAATATAATCTGTCTCTCTCCAGCATCATTAACTATCTTATCTAACTGTTCAATAACTCTTCCCCAGATGGTTACTTTGACAACATCTCCCCTAGAGCCACATGATATACAGAAGTTCGTGTGTTATGAAAACTAAAAGGTAAACTGAATACTGAAGAATGAAAAGCCGATTCAGAATGCTGAATACTGAGAACATGTCCCCCGGCGGCAGTTGAAATAAAGAAGTCCACACATAATCACTTTGACAACGTCTAATCTAGCTACTGTGGTTCTCTAGATTGAAAATTAAAAAGATAAATAGAAACTTACTCAATTAGCTTCATTTGCAGCTCCTTTCGAACGGTCCTCCGTGTAATATTGCTTGTTTTGATGACGTTTGAATGTCGAACTAATTCACCAACCACATCTACGAAATTAATACGTGACATGAATTGCAATGTAGGGGTCAGTACCAGCAAAAACTGACTGTGGTGAAGGCAACAACAGAATCGGGTAAAGGATTAACCTGAGAGGATGACCGTTTCCTCTTTCTTAGATGCCATATCACTTGCTTTCATGAAAGTGAACTTGAAAGTAGGAATAGAGGGGATGTCAGGGATGTGTTGAACAGTCGTCTTCCGAGTAAAGGACATTACATATGGGTTGGCAATTGGCCGGTGTGTCAAACCGGTTTCCTTGATATCAAAGACCTTGATTATGTAAACATGGTGTTGCTTCAGCAGTTGCTTGAACTTATTTTGCAGCACCAGAGGAATAAGAACCCATATGTCATTGCCCTGGGTGTCATAAATAAAAAATTAGAACCAGGCCACTTCATGGTTAAACGATGGAATTTGGTTCGCTGTACAAAATAGGATTACCTTTGAATCCAGAAGGATCAAGTCCAAATGGAGTACTTTGTCCGTCATGACATTCACTCCCAGCCATAACCTAGAAACACGACAATGCCCTGACCATAGTTGCTTCTCCGAATCCAAGTCTCGCATTCTGTTGACTTCCATCTTGCAAAAGACCAACGTACATGAGATAGACAATTAAAGTAACAAAGAATTAAATTATTTTGCCAATGCTGATACACAAATAAAAAAAAAAGCATGCGAAGGCTATGGACCTGGGAGAATTGAAGAACGGAGAATTGAAGAACGCAATTTGCTATGTGAAGTGATTCTACTGACATGGGGCATATATATGACGTATCTGACAGTTGATGTAGTGAACAAAATGTCCACTTAAACACGACCAGCAACATCTTCGGGGTGGGAAAGGGGGTTGCAGTCGGTACCTTGGACGGGTTTTGCGGGGACGTGGGCCGAGATGGAATAATGGTGAGGAACTCAACTGCCACCATTCTTCGTACACTCAGCAGGTGAAGGGGCTCGGGTAATGTGGACTCCGGCCCAGGTGGTCTTCATGAAGGACGGATGGTAGCTGCCACCCCAGCTACCCGATACTTGTCAGCTCCTCATGGGATGGGCACATCACGAAATGGGAGTTTTCAGGTCCGGATGAGGAATTGAATCCATCTGCAGTCAAACTGAAGAAGAGACCTATTCGCCATCATTTTTCTATACTCAGTGAGGAGAAGGAAGAGGGCCATGGCGAAGAAATTGGGATCGACATCACCATAGGGAGAAGGAAGCACAGAAGAGTTGTCTCAATTGGAATAAGCTGACCCCTTCCACAGAAGCAATCCCCACGGGCCAGCTTTTCTTGGGCTTATCCAACTGAGAATTGGGTTGGGCTTTTAAATTAATTTGGCGGTACATCAGCAGATACGTAACGTAAAACGCATACCAGCAACTAAATAGATGAAATGTCCGACTTGTCCTTCCGAGATTTGCTCCCGTCACTGGAAATTCAAATCCCAGCAATTCTGGGTTCTGAATCTGCTTCTTATATTTTAGAGAGGATGAAATTTACATACTCATTGGTATTAGTGTTTTCGTTACAAAAGAAACCTATAACTGAATTTGTACAGTTAACATTATGGTAATTGGTAACACATCAACAATATTGTTACTTATATTTCATCCGAATGTGATATTTTCGTACAAATGCCACATATAACAAATAACAACAAATATTGTGACATGTGTTATTTGTGTGATAATTGATCATAATAAGTCTGGCAAATACCACTTCTAAAACGAACCATGTGACCATGGAGTGCTTAGCTTACCTAATATATGTCTTTTGGGAACAGGTATGGCGATGGAGCAGGTTTATTCAGAGGCCATCAGTTTGGCCGACCGACGATCATAGCGTTTGCGCCGGCGGTGACCAAGTTCCTGTACCAGAAAGATACCGACTTTATCATCGGGTGGCCCAGCGTGGAACTTCTTGGCCTAACTTCCCTCGTGGCAGTACATGGCCAAGTCACACCAGGCTCCGAAGCTTCGTCACCAATGCTATCAACCGGCCCAATGCTCTTCGGCGAATCGCATTCCTCGTCCAGCCCCAGAATACCCAAGGTGAACAAGTATTAGGTTTCCACCCATTGGACTCATATTGGGCTTGAGTAATCATGGACTCCATGTATTGACCACTTATAGTTAGTCCATCAAAACCAAATAGCTAATATAAGTGTTGTGAAGGGAGAAGCTAGGGTGCTAACTCCATAGGGGGTTAGCACCTTCCTAACTAGAATATTAGCCGTACAATCCTTACTAGCCTTGTACCCGGTCCGTTGGCCGGGTGAACTTTGTTTGAAATGGTGATTGGGACAAAGCATAATGTTCGTAGATAATTAAAGATTTTATCAGTTGGAAGTATAATTTAATATTAACTTATATCGTCAGTTGGGTGTTTTTTCTCCTACTGTGTCTACTTTGTTCAGGCTATTATTGTCGTCTCGCATCCTCTTTTATTATCTTCCTTGTAAATATTCTAATGTAAGATCCTGGTAGTCGTGTCTCTAAATTGAAATGTAATGTAAGTCTGTGAAGTGTTGATGTACATTGTATGTTATGGAAAATGAAACCCAAGTAGTGGGAATAAATTGTTAACTTCCAGGAAATGGATTTAGAAATGTTAGAAACCTTATTTAAATGAAAATAGGTTTGGGAAAGACAATTGCAATGATGTATTAGCTGCAGCATCTTTTTTTAGTAAAAAGAGAAAATACAGAAGTGTAGAAGATAGAGGCGTAAGAATATGAACTACAAACAAAAGGATAGAAACATAAAATACTTCCAACACAATCACATCTAGCGATGGTCAGTGTTTTCCATTAATACCAGCTGAATATGTTCATAGCAATTAAAGGAGATTACAAATTGTGCAATATTCATCTCTTAAAAGTATAGCATAAGAAACTTATTAAAAGTTCTGCAGACTTTTTTTCTGTGAAAACGTGGCTGTCTTTCGATAAGAGGTTTCAGATAGACAAACATCAATCTGAATCAGAGATTACTTCAAATTTGCGTTTGTTCTTGTTGCTTGCAGCTGTACTGTCAATTTCTGGAGTGGAATTAGTTGCTGCAGAGAGTGCTCCTGGAGGGGTGTGGACTCCTGGTTCCTTCTTCACAGATTTGAGGAGTGCTGTAGGGGTGTAAGTGAGATCACTTTGGATGGAATGGCTTGATGAACAAACAGTTTCTTGCAGTGGACTCCTTGTTTCCTCCTGCCAAAATTAGTTAAGTGAGTATGTGTTTATGAAATTATCAATAGTTCATCAAATACTGTACTTGCTGGAATATGTATATATTGTTTCAATTTAATTTGAAGTTAACAGAGTGATTGAGCTAATCTATATAGTGTTCTGGTTTTACAAAGAAGGAAAGTTATTCTCTCTAGAAGAAGCCACGAATACAACTGTTTTTGATGAAATCATAAATTAATTAAAGACATACATTAACAGCTAGTTGATTAGGGCTGCTGGTTATGAATCTGGAAATGGATCTTTGCAGGCAACAATTTTATCATAGAGTCTATAATTGTTCATCTAATTCTCTAGTATTGCATTTCCACAGTTAGGTATGAATATGAGCTGAGTACCTGATTGTCACTGTATTGAGGTGTTTTTGTTGCAACCGAATCATCGTCCAGGACTTGTATGATTGTGTAGTTGGTTGAGTTTTTCTCCCTATTGTACTCAGTAAGTTTGATCCTGAATTTGTGCCATTTACCAATAAGATTTTCCAAATACTCTGGAGGCTTTATCATGTCCTCATTGTTTGCTTGGAGCAGGGCTTCAGCTGTGGTCTTCAAGAAAATCACTCCCTCGTGTTCTAGCAGCACCAAGTTCGCATTCCCAGTGTCATCTTCCACATATAAGCTAATTCGAAACCTATAGTATTGTTGTAAGTAGAAACATAGTGAGCTTTAGTTTTAAAGAAGTGCACTATCTGATGGTAAAGTAGTGGAACAAAAAAGGGACCTGGGAACTCCTTTGATGGTTGATATGTTGCATACTTTACACCAGAACTCATCAGTATCCTCCGGGATTTTTCTAGGGCATTTAGAGCAGCCAAAATAGCACCAGTTATCTTCCACTTCTTCTATTTTTGCTTTGAGGAAGAAATGTTTGCCCTGTAGGAATATGTAAAGAGTATGTAAAGTGGTTGAGCTTTTATTTAGTCCTGACTGATTAGTGAAGTATTTTGAATATGTAAATCAATACCTCATTGTCAATGTCATTCTTGAGCTCGGCTAACTCTGCTATAGTTGCTGGTTTTGGTTCTGGATCATCTTTGAGGACATATTCAACTGGTGGTTTGCCTAAAACTTGTTGCTCTGGTACTTCTTCATCAATCACATGGAATGCCTTCACTTCTGGGATATCAAGATTTCCATAAATCTTGGTTGCTGTTGAGGAAGAAAAAAAGGGGACACCTGCAGATTTTGTGTGTAATATGTCAAGATGAAAGAGTATTGTTACGAAGTTCTTAAAACCGGCAAAAAGGTCAATTTATTAAAAGATACCGTGAGCATCTTTCTTAACATAGGTTGAGGTGATGATAAGGATAACCGATTTTCCAGCGGCAGTGGCAGCTTTGAACACCTCATCAAATTGAGTAATAATTGAACCCCAAAGGGTCACTTGAATTTTGCTGCCCCTGGTTCATAGTATTTGTGGATCAATTAGTATATAGTCCCTGATATTTGTGGTGACAGGAATAAAGGACCTCAATAGTGAAGAGTGAAAAACGTACTCTGGAAGTTGAATATGGAGTTCTTTCCTAACCGACCTTGATACTCCATTGCACTTTTTTGATGTATTGGAATGTTTCAAAAGGTATCCAATGGTGTCTTAGGGCATGTAAAACAACATAAAGAACTTAGAAATCAAATAAGGTGCTAATCAGAAAACGAAGATGAAAGGATAGAATTGATGTTACCGCATAAGAGTTGTGGTTTTCCAACTTTGCCTGGGATTTCAGCTGCTTTGATGAAGCGGAAGTTATAGGGTGGAATTGAATTATCATCGTCAGTTTCTTCCACGTGGGTGTTGTCTTGGAAAACAATCTTTAGAGGATTGTTTACTGGTCGAAAGAGTTCCTTCATCTTGATCCGTTCTACTTTGAAGTTTGAGAATTTGTAGACTCTCTGTTCATGCAGTAACGGCCTCATTGTATCTACGTTATCTGCTGGGATCTGGACATTTATGTCATTCCCCTGCTTAGCATATAAAGTTTTGGCTGTGTTAGAGGTGCGTTTAGGGAATTTTTGCGAGATAATGGAAAACTAATGAGAATAGATAGTAATTAAGACATGGGATTTGACTGAGAGATGGTTGAAATGCGACGTGATAGCAAATGATTTAGAAACTTCATACCTTAGCATCAAGCAAGATAAGGTCCAATCGTATGAGGGTGTTTGTTTTGGTGTTGATTGCATCCCACATACGCGAGATTCTGGCACAAACAGTCCCTGAGTGAAATCCAGATTGAAGTTTATCGAGCATCCCCATCCTGCAAAAATGATCAGAAGTGCAATATTTAGAATTAACTTGTAGAATGTTGAAAAGAACAAAACTGCAAATACGATTCGGGTAGTGAAAGCAAAACTGAGAAGGAGAAGTTAGGAGAGACGTTCCTGGAATGATGTATCTTGCTGCATCAGTTGTGATGGAGTAGGGTACCGGCTAATATATATATGGATGAGAGCAGCAGCCCACTGGCAAATGGAAAGTTGATGGCAGTTATGTTTGCACGTTCTCCGCCATTGTCGGATTTTTTTGAGGAGTTGGATTTTTTGACGAAGCAAAAATATTGTGATGAACCTTCACCTGTATGGACGGCTGGTGCTGCATTTGGAATGAAGAGACTTAGTCCTTACAAACAATCGTCCAATAGCCAGGGAGGGAGAGTATTAAGTGATATGAAAGAATGAAATGTGGTGCTTACCGTACTGGTGAGAGATTGCTGCAGGAGTTCGTAACCGTTTGGGGCGAGGTTCTTTCGAACAGGAGATTGATCTTTTCCCTTTTCGATCCATCTACAACATTCATGTGTCAAGGTATCAAATAATCAAATAATTCCCAGATATTATGGAATCCCTCTCTCCTCCTAATTCTATGAATTAGCGCCCACCCCCCTGGGGTTGAGCACTTTGGTTACAGGAGCTCCCTACAGGAAATATAGTATATTTTTAGATAGGTAAAGTTTGCAATATAAATTGAGATATAGAGGTCCGACTAATTAAGGAGCGAGAGAGCTAGCAAAATACCTCCAAAAACAATGAGAAGTTGGGATTTATGGATGGCACTGCTGTCGACGGGGAGGCGTTTGCTGGCGGCGCCGAAGGAAGGGGAAGGAGTTGGCGGCGGTGATTTCTGGTGGCGCCGAAGGAAGGAGAAGCAGTTGGCGGTGTTGGCTGTTGTTGGTCTGCAGAAAGGAGGGTTGGGGGAACCGGAAGAGATATTGCTGCCAGGTTTTGTGCGGTGATGAGTTGCAGGGCGGGAGAAGCGGAAGAGTCGCTTTGGGGGGTTGCTTTACCGTTTTACATTTTGTGTTTTTTTTTTGTTGGGCTTATTTTGATTGGCTGGAGGGGTCTGCTGACGTGGAGGCATAATGGGCTGGGGAATTTGAATCCACGAGGTCATTATTTGGAAAAGTCTTATTATATTCTATTGATTCTAATCTAAGGGTAAATTAGGGATAGCCTGCATTAAATTTTAAGTACCGTTTTTAATTAAGTTTGTTTGAGTTAGTGGCGGAATATAAGGGATAGGCGGCGGTTAAGATTTTCGAATTTTGTACGAGGGGTGTAGTCTCAAATTTGATCTGGTTTGTGGATCGTAATGGAGAGGTTGGTTGGGAGCAAAATTGACGGCGAGAACCTTATATCGGCGTTGGCGTCTGCAACGACGGTGAGAAGGATCTTTATCGATGGCGACTAAATCCAAGGAAGATCCAGTATTGACTGGAGCAGTGGAAATGGAGGAAGAGGAACCGATGCGGGACATGTCGATCGTTGGTGGAAGTGGGACAACTCAGTGATGAGATACCGTCGGGATCTATCCTTGTAGTCTACGTATATAATCAGTACCACAATATGCTTATATCGCCGGCCATGCAGATTCCGAGATGAAAAACAGTAGTAGTGAATTATCCAAAATATAGGAGTGGTTATACATGGCAGTTTAACATATGGTGGATGGGTGTGTAGTGTTTGTACTGGCTGCCGGTAACGAGTGCATATGTATTTCCTTGTACGTGACCGACATAACCTGGTGGTAGTGGCTTTGAAGATTCTTGAAGTAATATGTGTTGTGTTTCCAATGTGGGGTCGTAATATGTCGGTTGCAGATGGTAGTAGTGGTTTTGACCATCGTAGATGTAGCGGTTTTGCATTTGTAGTAGATTTGGTAGTAGGGGTTTGTCCGACATAAATGTAGCATTTTTTAATTGGTGGTAGATTTGGTAGTAATGATTTTGGTAAACGTAGGTGTAACGTTTTTGCATTGCTTGTATATTTGTTATTAGTGGTTTTGCATTGGAGTTGAAGGGTGTGGGTGTATGTGTGTAGTGTTTTTGCATTAGTAGAAGTTGTACGTCAATAATATGTGTCGTAGTTGTTTGTGCATGTGTGTAGTGTTTTTGTATTGGTGGAAGATGTATGTTAATAATACGTGTCAACTGAATTGACATGCTCCTGGCTTTAAAATTGTCAGACAATCACGATATCAGCTGCACATCAAACTGTGTCATCTGCATATAAAAAACAAGGGAGTTGCTAAAGGTCGCCCTTAGAATTGCTAAAGGTCGCCCTAAAAAATTTTAAAGTTACACTTATAACCCCCTATCTTCTTTACCTTCCCTTTATCAAACAAACACCACTTGAACTAAAAAACCACTATCTAAGGAGAGAAAAATCCATCATCGTCATTTTGAAGCCGATATCGTCGGTAGGACGTCTGAATCATGAGTAGCGACTCCGACGAGGTAAATACATTATCTGAAAAATGAAAAAAAAAATGGGAACCGCGGGTGACCTGCGGTTGGACCATGGCTGGACCGCAAATCACCTGCGGTTGAACCATGGCTGGACCGCAAATGACCTGCGGTTCAGCCATGGTTCAACCGTAGGTCACTTGCGGTTGGGCATTTTTTGGGGGTTTTTTTTTCGTTGAATAATTTTCTATTTTTTATATGATTTATGATTTGTTCCATGAGATAATTTGTTGGGTTTTGATTTATATAATTTTCTAGATTTATTTGCATAATTATTTTTGGAATTGAAGGATTTAACATTAGAAATTAAGATTAGATTTGGCCTTAAATTAAGATTAGATTTAATTTGGTCTTAATCTAGAAAATTAAGATTAGATTTTGTATTACAAATTAAGATTAAATTTATTGCATAAATAATAGATTCGCATATGAAGTTATGATGATTATTAAATTTAATATAGTTATGAAATTTTAAATTGATCATATGGTACTCGTTAAATTGACGATATAGAATGTTAAGTTTTTTTATTTTATTTTGTGGGGTATCATTTATAAATTCTGATAACATTGCAGGATATTGGAAGTTTCAATCCGGATGGCCATGATTACACCTCGGATTTCATTGATGGCGTGAAATACACTACGGAGTTGCAAGCATATGAAGCAGCTACTGAGATTGCCAAGGGTTTTGGGTTTTATTTGGTGAGGGCATCGAACAAAAAAAAATAAGAATGAAGGTACTTAGCGACATTACTTACATTGCACTCATGGTAGGAAGAAGAAGTCGAAGGAACCTGATCCGAGTAAGGAAAGGAGGCCTCTTACATCTACTGAAAAGTTGGGGGTGCGAGTTTCAGATCAAGCTTGAGCGGTCAGGTGATGGATATTGGTTAATCCTAGGGGTGGCAAATACAAAGAATCCTGGTGCTAATTTGGGTTTCCACAATCATCAGTTGGAGCTATTTCCGGAGGGATCAAAGGGAAGGAATGTTTTGACTACAGAGGATAAGCAATACATCAGAGAGCTGAGATCAGCCGGTGTCCCACCAAGGAATATCCACAAGGCCGTGAATGAGAGAAAAGGTGCAAATGGAACACACAACAGAAAGCAGATTTATAACGAGTTGCAAAAGATAAGGAAAGAAGAGCTTGGTCAGATGACAGCCTTACAGTATACTTTCCGCGTGGCGCAGGAGAAGGGTTACTATGTGCAGTATATGGACGATCGTAACGTGCTTACACACTTGTTCCTAGCCCACCCTGAGTCAGTAGTGATGTTGCGAGCTTGGCACCATGTGATCGTGATAGATGCAACATACAAGACCAATAAGTATGATATGCCTTGGGTTGAGATTGTCGGCATGACACCAGTGGGATTGAACTTTGTCATTGCATCTGCAATAGTGTACGACGAGACGAAGGAGTCGTACCAGTGGCTTCTGACGCATTTGCAACATCTTCTTGGCCCCATTGTTCCAAATGTGTTTGTCAGTGACAAGGAGGAGGATTGGTTGAGACCGTGGGGTAATGTTTCCATCATCGACTCATATATTATGTCTTTGGTATATGGATAGGAATGTGAGAGGAAAGTGTCTAGCGGAGGTGAGAAGGACGACTCATTGTGGTATAGATGCAGCCAAACCGACAGTGGATCATATCATGGCGTCTTGGCAACGTGTTGTATATGCATTGACAGTGGAAGACATGGATACTGCCTTTGACAATTTCAGACGTAGTTGGGGAGTACAGTACCGACGTCTTTGGGGGTATATGACAGCTGAGTGGTTACCAGTTAGACACATGTGGGCTAAATGTTATACCAATCAACTGCGACATTTGGGTAACACAAGCTCTAATAGGGTTGAAGCTGCCCATTCCTCCTTCAAGAAGTGGCTTCAATCATCTACTGGCGCAGTCGACATGGTTAGTCTCCTAATAAATCTTCATTGATACACACATAAGTTTTAGTAGTCTCCTAATTGTTCTTCATTGTCTGTAGGTATTCAAGAAGAACGATGATTACATTGAGGCTCAACGCCTTCAAATCAGGAAGCTTCTAGAGGATTCCCGACAAAAGAAGCTGCTCCGAGCGGATGGAAAACCATTTCGAGAGTTGAATACGAAAGTCACTCTAGAAGCTCTGAGGTTGATGTTGTTCGAGGTAGCAGTGGAAGGGGAACCTTGTACATGTACGTTTACTCCTACCTATGGTCTCCCATGTAGATGTTCCATTCAGTTAGCACGACGTGAAAATCGGGATTTCGCCTTGTATGATGTGTTGCCATTCTGGACCGTTATCAACTATCGTGCCCCGTGGAGGGTTGCTCGGATTCCCAATACTAGTTGGAAGAATTAACCATGGCTACATTGTTTGGAATCCTACGTGCAACGACTAGTTCGTGGTTGGTTCAACCCTATTCCAGATGGACACCGTGGATTTCGAGCTATATCACAAGTAGTTACTGGGGACCAAAGAATTGGCCACAAATGAGACGCGCTGTTATAGAGGAGCTTGAATCCCGTCCTGAGCTTTATAGAGACTACTATGATCGAATAGCAAATGGAATAGAAAATGGCATTCGGCATTGCAGGTGGGCATCAACAAGTGGCTGTGGACCTCCCAACTGGATGGATAATGCGGAACTCTTCGTCTTCGCCACCTTGCATTCGTGGGCTATCGTTGTATACAGTCAAGGCGGTCGTTATACCGTGTTACCTGTGACAGCCCCACCAGGAGTAACAAGACCACGTGGGATCTTATCACTACATTTTACGGGGGGATCATTGGGTGCGACTTGAATTTCGACATGGTCAAGTGCCCATGCCTCCAATTAATGGCCTTTGGGCTATTTTTTCATGACCCTATTGTTGAAACATTTAGTAATCTACCATGTTGATTAACTATTTTAGCAATGCATTGAATGTAACTAAAGTAAAAAAAACATAACCGTCTCAATTCAACTACGAAAGATGACAAATAAAACACACAATAATCTCAGTTCAACTACAAACGATGACAAATAAAAAGCACAATAGTCTCATTTCAACTACAAACGATGACAAATAAAAAACACAATAGTCTCAGTTCAACTACAAACGATGACAAAAAAAAACATAATCGTCTACTGAGGCGGCTGCCCTATCAACTGGTCGTACAACTCGAAAACCCCAGCTACCATATCATATAACTTACCACCGTCCTCCTCCCACTTACTCCGGTCCCTCGTCAGCAACACGGGACCTAAACGATCCACAATCTGCTCTCTCAGCTGTAAATAGAAAACAATGTTAGAATAAATAACAAATGTCCTTTATATTTGGAAAAGCAAAAGAAAGTCATAACTAACATGATGAACTAGTAGTGGTCGAGGCTGAGGCACCCCATCAGTGGGGTGGGTGATCCGTGGGTGCGATCTAGTCAGAAACCAGTCAACGTACTCCTCCACGATCTCCGATGGGTGCTCGCACGGCCGAGAAGCAAAATCCAAATCTAGACGACGGGCTGCCACGTTATCCCACAACTGATTCACCCACGGATCCCAAAAGACTATGTAACTGCTGCCGGAAGCCGGACGATACTGATCATGTGGTACCGTCATAGCACGGGGGATAATCTGTCGGTATCCAAACTAGCGCATACAACGTGCAGGATCGTATCCCTCAACAATGTCAGAAAAGCGAATGGGGCCAGTATACAAGGAGCGGGGTATATCTGTGTGGCCATCTCGTCCGTACAGAGTCCAGGTCACATCATCAGCTGAAAGCTCATCCAACAACTGTCGATAACGTGCTAACCTCTGTCTAGCCTCATCCCCACCTGGCAAACGGGGAGAAATCCACGAGGAAGCACGAGGTGCATCCGGAGACTGCGGCAGCTGGCTCGGACGGAATAGAGGAAAGTACTCATATATCCTAGCCTGAAGCAGGGTCAAACAACCACAAAGACCCTTACTACCCGCTCGTGTGGCCAATCCCAACTGTCTGTAGAGATAGGCTAGTGCACCAGCTCCCCAAGCGTAATCAGTCAATCGTCGATGATCCTTCAGAAACAAGTTCATCGCAGGACGAAGGCGATCACGACTCTTATCCACAAAAAGCGTGGATCCCAGTAACACAAATAGGTAACACTGTACCTCCATCTCCTTAATCTTCAGCTCTCCCCCACGCACCAACAATCCCTCTGTATGCATAGCACCATTATCGTACCACTTAGACTTCCACTTACCACCAACCTGAGCATCCACCGAAAGTCGAACTAGACCACCCATGTCTGACTTAAGAGTATCCTGCTCTCCGTCAACCGGTATCCGAAGAATGTGATGCACATCGTGTAGAAGGATCGAAATCTCTCCAAACGGCATATGGAAGGTGTTTGTGTCCGGCTGCCACCTCTCCACAAATGCCGACAGTAGAGCCATGTCTAAATGCTGCATCATGCACCCTGTCAAGTGAGACAATCCTGTGGCTTCAACCATCTCTTTGGAACCCTCTGCACTCCACTTATATCGCCTCAAAGTCTCTACAGCTCTCGTCCTATGGAAGCCGTCCAACACTCCACGGTCCTGCTCAGGGGAATTCCACAGTACAAAGCCAATGTGACCTCCAAAGCTAGGGATCACATCGGGAATCACTGGTCCACCTGAACACATCGGAGACTCAGCTGTAAGGAACCACAACATATCTTTCCTCGTGGTCTTCCTCTTCCTATTTCCATCTCCGCGTTCCTCGCTACTAGGTCTGGACGCTTAACGTCCATCGGGCCCACGGAAGTGTGAGGAGGCAGTAGAAGATATCCCGACCCGCGCCGTCTTCCCCGGGCCTAAATCAGCTTGAGGTGGGGCATCCCCAACCTCAGCATCACCAGCAACATCACCAGCAGCATCACCAGCATGATCACCAGCATCATCACCAGCAGCATCACCACCATCATCACCAGCATCTGGGGCATTCCAAACCTCAGCATCACCGTCATCATCATCATCCTCGTCAATGGAATCACTCCAATTAGCCTGCCATACCGGTGCGCTCTCTGGTGTAGGAGTACTGGTAGTACCTCGACTAAGAGACAACTGCCCCACAGTAGGGTGGCCGTCAGGACGCATTACATCCGCCTTCTTCTTCCTTCTAACCTTAGGTGGATTTTTTTCTTCATTTTCCTTCCTACCAGTCGCCGTAAGTCTACAAGCACGACCTTCCATTCTCTCATTATTTCTTGCCTTAATCATATCCGGTTTACCCATTCCATGTCCAGACATCTTCAAAAAAGGTTTGAAGTATTAATAATGGATTATTAATAATAGAGTACATAAAGTAATTAATTTAAGATTTCCATAATTAAAATTATAACTAAATTATTTTTATAGAGTACTATAATTAAAATTAATAATTTCTCTCCTTAATCATTTCCATAATTAAAATTATTATTCAATAATTTAATAATAGAGTACTATTGTAAAATTAATAGTTTGAACATTTATGTTCCGTTCTATCTAATCATTATTTACACAAAAGTAAATAATTAATCAAGGTCAAATTATGAATAATTAAGTAGATAAACGAATTAATTTTAAAATTTGATTATTAAAATTATAAAAATACATATTTAATTTTTTTATAATGTTCTTTAAATTTGTTATCATTAATTAACATTTATCGAATACGTTTTTTAAATTTTTATATCATTATTGACAAAATATATAACTAAATTATTTTTATTAAGTATATTTTTTTAATTAATTTTATTGTTATTAACATTTATTGAATAATAAAAAACAGAATTTAAAAACAGAATTAAAAAAAAGCGGTCAAACCGCGGTCGAACCGACGGTCAACGGCGGTTCAACCAACGGCTGACCACGGTCAAAGCGCGGTTTGACCATCGGTCAACCGCCCTTTGACCGCGGTCAGCCGTTGGTTGAACCACGCGTTGACCATTGGTTTGACCGCGCGTTGACCGTGGTTAGCCTCTGGTCAAACCGCGGTTTCAACACTCACCTTCTTCTCCGGCGAGGCTGGACGGCGGCGAGGCTTGCGCGGGCGGCGAGGGACAGCGGCGATGCTGGCGCGGGCTGCTAAGGCTTAGCAGATCTTATTACGACAGAGTCAACGTAAACAATTAGAACTTGAGTAAAATATCATTAACCACAGAATTTAGTGAGCGCGTCATTCAAAAGTGTGCCCTTCGATCGCGATGCTAATCTTACCATCTGGAATGTGGATATCCCGGGAAGTAGGAATGTAAGAACTCAAGATTATGGGCAGCCCTTGCCATTCCGTTGAATGCCTCATGTGCAAGCCATGGAATGCATGGGTTCTCCGGCTGGATTGGGTTTGTGTTGGACCAGTAGTGGAAGAGTTTTAGTTTTTACCGGAAAGCAGTGTTCCATTCTTTTCGGCGGCATCCTTACGCCGCATCCCGTTCTTCCTTCTTATTGATAGCAAAGGGCCTTCTAGAGAAGTAGTAGAACGTAAAAAAGAGAACGCACCTTAAATCACTCTGACTTGGGGGGCGGAAGGCTTGTGAAATCGATCAATTCCGTTGTTTTCGGGTGAGTAAGATCCGAAGCTGCAAATGTTCGCTTTATGCCAGAATGCGTTGATGAGCGGGATAAATCAGATGGCGTTTCAAGAAGAGCCAAACCAGAAACTAATCAAACCTTCTCCCTGCCAGAGGGTGGAGGGGGTTGCCGGCGAGGGGGTTGCCGGCGAGAGCTTCTTCTCCGGCGGCGGGATGCAGAGGGTGCCGGCGGCGGGTTGATTTTGCAGAGGGCAGAGGGTGGAAGGGAAGTTCCGCTGGAAGGAGGGTGAAGGGTGAAAGGGCTGTTTGGCTGGTCTATTTTTTAAATTTTCATTAAGGGTATATAGGTAATTTGACTTTTAAGTTAGGGCGACGTTTAGCAATTCTTAGGGCGACATTTAGCGATTCAGAAAAACAACACCAAAACCTAAATCATACAGCTTAGTTTCCCTCTCCTTGGTGATGGTATTGTTCTTCAGACCTTCCTCCACAATAGAAATCAGCTGGGCAGGGAAGCACTTGTGTTGAGTACGGGACATCTCATCCTCCACCACCTGAATAACATGGGAGAAGATAGGGTGCTAACTTCATAGAGGGTTAGCAACATCCTAACTATTTTTTTAATTTGATGGTTATCATTAAAGAAAGGGTATAATCGGAAATTGGGATAAAAAATTAAAATACGAAATTAATGTTGATTTCTGGGAAACTGCATGTCCGGATTTTGTGGGATTTCCTTCAGAGACGTTTCTATTCCCGAGAACAAAAATCAATACTTACCTGTCACATTCCTAAAGGAAAAACACTAAGAACCTGCCATATAGTTACAAGTTTCACTCAACAACTTCTCTCTCTCCCTTCTCTCCATCACGTCTCTCTGTCTTCGCAGAGTAAAACACTACATTCTTTGGAAACACTACTAACTCTTTTCTTCAGCTATGTAGTAGCAATTTGGTGTGTGGTTTTGATTTTATGATATATTAGTAGTGATTTTCATAATTTTTTAGTAGAATCAATATTACTATATAAATTCTTGCAGTCAATAATAATAAATCACTACTAATACAAAAACAGAAACACTGCTACTTCATATTCGTAAATACGGGATCCATAAATTCACTGCTATAGAATCATTGCTAGTACCATCATATCTATAAAATCACTATTACGAAATCACTATACTACTATTACAAAACCACTACTACGGAGAATCCTCCACATTCTACATCTTCCATCAAATGTAATCTCTTCTCTTGCACTCCTTATGATTTCATGAGTCCACAACTGCAAACAAAAACAATAACAAAACAATTACTTCCACTTCCACCTTTTAAAACAATAAAAGTGCAAATAAAATTGCTACGACAATAAACTAACAAAGCAAAAAAAGGAAGACCATAAAATCCTAATTTACTGCAAAACAGTACTACCGTAAACCAGAACTAGTCTTAGTGAAATGGTTACTGCATCATCAAAAAGAAGTGAAGTCTGCAAATTAAGCATTCTCGAAGACCAAAAACAATTGCATTCGAATCCAATAAACAAAAAACAGATTCCGAATCCAGAAATCCTACGCTCAACCGCCCTTAATGCAGATCTTGAACCAACTATGCAAACACTAACAAAAAGTTCAAGAGCTGGCGGCATGCAGTGTCGCCGATTACAAAATGGATCGACGATTGATCAAATTAAAAACTACCTGATACGAGCTTGTCGATGGCGCTGACGGCGACAAGGTTAGGGGCGTTGAGGGCAGCAACGTCGAGGACAGATCAGGCGAACCCAGTCCCGACAAAGGCCACTGACGAGGGAAAGTTCACCGACGGGAAGGGCTGCGGGAATCGGCTGGGCTGGGGCGTTGAGGGCGGCGGCGCGAGCAAAGCAGAGGGAAAGTTCAACGACGCAAAGGACTGTTGGAATCGGCTGGACTGGGGCGTTGAGGGCGGCGTCATCGCGGGCAAAGCAGGCGAACCCAATCCCAACGCCACTAACAAAGGGTTGCGGAAATCGACTGGGCTTCTACTCTCCGATGGGTAAAGAGAGGAATAATTTTTTTTTACTTGGCTTGATTGTTGGGATATCTCCCATCACAAAAATCTACCCCTTTTCAACCGGCTGATACCACGGCCTGCATCATCTAATAAAACTCAACTTACCAAAATGCCCCCGACAATTAAACACTCCTTTTTTGATGAATTTTAAAACGCAGTCGCTTAGTTGGGTTAGGACGGTGCTAACGGGGTAGATGGTTAGCAAGCCATCCCATCCCGAATAACATCCATCGATCCTCCTTCAGAACGAGTAGGCTTTGAACCTTTGGGACACTTTACCTTCGCCATTACTGCAAATAGAATCACCAAACAACACTATATTACCTTTATGCTGCAATTTATAGACAGACTAAGAGCAAAACTGTAAAACACTACAAAAATGCCACTAATAACAAAAACACTACTATACAAACTCAAATCACTACTTAACATGAATGGAAAGTAGACACTACTAACCATAACACGAAACACTACATTCTGAACACCACTAACCAGACATGAAACACTACCACCCATACAAACATGAAACACTACCAACCGCACACACGAAACACTACAAACCAAAACAAGTGAAGTCTGCAAACTAAACATCATTGGAGAAAAAAACAATTGCATCTGACTCCAATAATAAAAAAAGATTTTGAATACAGAATCCTACACTCACCCGGCCTCAAAGGCCGATCTTGAACAAAGAATGACGACACAAACAAAAAGTTCAGAAGCTGGCGTCATGCAATGGCGCCGATGAGGAATGGATCGACGATTGATCAAATTACAACCTACCTAATGTGGCGGTCGAACAAACGATGATGAGGCCGGTTGAGGGAGCTTGTCGATGGAGCTCATGACAGCAACGACATTGTTGGTTGCGTCGAGCGCGAGACTTTATACCTGTCTTTCAATTACTTGGCTACAATTTAAGCTCAATGATAATGTTTGACACAAGTGAAGATGAGAGACAGTCTTAATGATTAATCAATATATGTCCTAGAACAACTAACTACCTTCTGCTTCTTTCAACTGTGACCTTGATCTATTTAGGTATATTGGCTAAACTCTACACTGAACTCAATAAACAACTCGGCTAAGCTAATTAATTAAAGTTTAACCCTCACTGGGACAACTAATTGGAAACCCACCTATTAAAACTTAACTCTTACCCGAATGGGCTTATAAGCCCAATTACTTGAGTTGTGTTGAAGGAATGTAAAACCCGAAAGCCCAGTACTATCAATTACTCGACCGACCAAGCTTCTAAGTGAAGAACAAAACGACAGAGTTTTAATTCAAACTTAATCTACCTTTCCCGCTTGAGTGATTTCGATCAAGCAGAGACCTGTTTATATTTGAGTGAAGAACAGGGGAAGAACTCCACGAACACAGCTGTATAAACCCAGAAAATTGCGACAAAAATTAAATCAAGCCAGGTCGTAGAAGGTTCTCCAAACCAGTTCTGGTACTTTCCTTGAACTTCGTCTTCCTTAGCTACTCTTGATCGAATTTCCCTGCACACTCAGACTTGAAACAGAACACACACAGAGGCACATACGAAACTGAAACTGAAAGGTAGAATAAGAACACAACTCATGATTTTTACGTGGTTTCCATTATTGGGAGAATAAGAATCCCAATACTCACTACTCCACGGTCGGAGACTCACGGTTGTGTGATCTCCGACGCTTCACTAATGATCTTGCGTTGAAGTTCGTCGTAACAATCTATCTACCCGAAAAACCTGTGATCAATCACATACACTCTCACAGAACCCGAATTGCTACCTAAGCAACTCGTAACTAGTGTTTCCCCAACACTAACCCTCAAAGTTGTTCTCCCCGAACCCTTTGAGAAATCCCCTTTTCTATCAATCTCGCTACACTCACAAAATCCCCTCTTGTCTAGCTAGCGTTGTTGATCTCCGAAAAGGTTACCCTTGCTGGTTCTTCAGGTCGCCTTTTATAGGCAGGAATATGACCGTTAGTCATTCAATTCCTTCCCTATTTGTGATGATTTGATTGAGAACTCAATCCTCTAATTTGATTTGGAGTGAGCTGGTCATTTGAGCCTCATTGTGCACTGTTGTATCCAATCTTCTTGATCTGATTTCTTCTCTAATTTTTCAGCCGTTAGAACCTTCCTCCTTTGTGTTGATTTGCTATGTGGCAAATCAGCATCTTTGAGCTATAGTTAGCCATTGGAAAGTTCTTTCCTTTATTATTCTTGCTGATTGCAGAATCTCTCCTCCTTCTTGCTGTCTTTGATTTTCTTTCCTTTACTTACAAGATTGCAGCATTTTCCTTCATTGATTGCGGCCATTGATATGCTTGACTCAATAGACATCGGAGGGGTTCCGGACGGCATCGTCAAGGCAGAGCAGGCGAACCCAGTCCCAACAAAGGCCACTGGCGAGGGAGGCTTCATCGACGGGAAGGACTGCGGGAATTGGCTGGGCTTCTACTCTCCGCCGGATAGAGTGAAAAATAAAATCTTACCCAAAAAGAAGTTTGCTTGATTATTGGGATATCCCCACCAAGAAAATCACACACGTTTCACCTGGCTGAAATCACGACATGACGTCATTTAATAAACCCAACTTACCAAAATTCCCCTGATAATAAAACACTCCTTAATTTTTCGAAATTAAAAAGGAAGGCGGTTTGCTGGGTTAGCACGGTGCTAACGGGATAGATGATTAGCAACCCATCTCGTCCCTGTTGTGAATTTGCTAGCCCACTTAAGGTAGGAAATGAAATTCGTAACAATCTCCCACTTGGGCCGTCTAATTTCACAAACACTTATATTACGAAAATAGACTCTAAAAAACCATCACTTTATTCTGCATAAATTAATTTAGTCATAACTATTGAACATACTTAAATGAATCCCACTAACCCAAGGTACCATCCGGAATAACACTCATGCAAGCAATATTATCATGGAAAAAACTTTATGTGTCAAACCTTTGTCTAATGGATAAGCTAACATTAGTCATGTCCTTAAAGTTCAATAGAAACTTGTCTATTTTGAACTTTTTGTTTAACCATTAGGAACTTTATGTCAATAACCTTTGACTTCTGAACTCCTATTATAATGATAGTGCATCGCTATCAAATCATTGTCACTATTAACCTTCAATGACTTACCAAAGTCATTATAGGGACAAAACTTTGCGACCATAATTGGAATCGCAAGATGTGATTTGAACTCTACCCAACACTTAAGGGTAACTTGATAAAGAGTTCATGCTATCTTGACATTCTGTAGGATCGTAATCAGAGTACCCTATGATCTCTAAATTATCTAATCCGATAAGTTCACATGTATTCTTTTATCATCTTTAGTAAACGCATTACATGTTTGAATTCTTTCTAATATTTCATGCATAAATTACCCAAGTATCTACCAAATACTCTTAACCATAAATGCTATATTGGGATGAGAATAAACTAAAGTATACATTGGATCATTAGAAAACAAATATGTATAAAGGAGATTTTGTATCTATATTTCTTATACATAATTGGGGCATCAATTGAGACCAAAAACTGTCTCCTTTAGCTAACACACATTTCTTGGGTTACTACTTATCTACTTAAACCTTATCGATATATCTCATTTAAAATTGAGTATACATTGAGAATTTATCTCTTAGTACCTCAATTCCCAATGCAAAGGAGGCGAGACCAAGAGCCTTTTTACCAAATTTCCTTTCAGAAATTTCTTGATCTCGTGCAGTAAGCATATATCGTTACTTGAAAGTAGAATATCAATGATGTATAACACAAGACAATGAGTTTACTCCCACTGAACTTAAGATATACACAATCATCTCTAACATTAGTCTCTAAATCCGAATGAGCTAATAATGAGATGAAGTCTATGATATCAATAATGAGAATTCATACTGAGCCATTATTGTCTTTCATAGACTTTATCATATGACATCAATCCACTTTTTAGAACTGTTCGTAACTTTGACTAATATAAACCGAATCATTAGTCAACCTGACATTATCCTTATGTTCTTTGAAGAAAATGATATTGTTAACTTGAATCACTTATCTTCTCCTTTGTGAATATCTTTAATGGCATTTGTTGAGTGTGTTGAGTTTGTGTAGTAAAATTTCTTATGTTTCCTTCCCCCAAAACTCAACATATTCAAGATATCTCACATTTCTGATTTAATAACATTTTTTTATGTAGGATTAAAAAAAAAACTTGTAGCATCGAGAGCAGTTTCGAGTAACCAAGAAAATACAAGTTAATTGTACCCTTGTGTCCACAATACCTTCTTGTACCTTATAAGGTTTTTTCTAAGTTGAACAACTCTAAATGTTCAAGTACCTTATTGCTCATATGGATTATATTAACTACTTTTATGGATACTCAATTTAAGGATGTTCTTTGTAAGCATTTTGACTTTCATGCAAATGGAGTATAGTATGTATAAACGCATAATTATACTCCTCGCCATACATATCCTTAAGCATTCACCGATACCATAATATCCTTAGTTCTCTATTTGTTCCTTTACTGAGAATTTTGAGGTTATGTGAACGAGCACAATCTTATCTCGTATCTTCCCTCCTCTCCTTTTGTGAGTATTAGTACTCACATGAAACTTCGTGAGGAAGATAAATGAAACCAAGTGTTGAGTATGTCTTTTGACAACTCTAACTTTAGTCACTTGATTTTAATGCGAAATAGGACACCTTCAAAATATACTAAGCTTGAACATTTTGCCTTTACACTTTATGGAATCAAATCAACCTAATAGGCAAGTTGTCCTATATCCTTTTATGTTTGGCAAAATACTGTATTATTACTGCAAGAAAACCCCATAAGCGTCTTAGTATAAGAGCCCCTTAATTATGCATTGATAAAGTGCTTATATTATCAAGCACACTTAGAGTAATTCTTACCTATTTAAACCTCATTGAGATTTTCCGGAGTAGAGTAGGGATTGTTCCACACAAAAGTGTAAGATCAAAGCCTATATCTCGAGAATAATTGTCTTGATTTTACTTTATTTCTTTAGATTCATCCCATTTAGCAGAAGAGTTAGCTTCAAATTTGGCATAAATATCTAAAATAAGTCATGAAAACTATAT